GCGGAATTTCAATAACAGATTGTTACTTCATCGGGTTCGTTAGTAAAAAATACAACAATGTTATGGTAAAATCAGATTCACCATCGCTTGTGTCAGTGGCTGTGGTTTTATAGCCAGTAACGGATTGCATCAAAAATGAAGGATTTCTCCCTCTGTCCAGCATTAGCTACCAATAAACTTTGAGACCCTTATTTTGTCATACTTGTGTTTTGTTCATTACTGTATATCAAATTTATCACAAAAGAAAAGAGGTAGAATACAAACTTTTGATTCAGGTGGATGTAACAAACTTTATTTCCCGATTGTTGACAAAATTAAAACGCAATAAACAATGTAGTCTGCAGTATTGCATTTGAAAGTGCAACTTTAATACCACTCTTCGAAGTACAAGCTTCCTTGGAGGTAAATATATGAAATAGTGTTCGTGCATCTAGCCTGCCAATCGATTATCTGTAAATATACTTTATAATGTTATTTATGGATTAATGCAGACCTACCATCTACTTCAATTGGTACTAATAACCATTTAACCTGATTGGAAAATAATCAAGGGTGCGGTGTGCATAATCCATAGGATTTCGGAGCGAAAAAAATGTAATTTTATAACACCCTAAAAATGTACTAGGAAGGGCAACGTTAGAAAAACGGAGCTACGTACAGGGTGGGTTATAAACACATTAAGTGAAAATCGCCCGGTGTCCCTTCAGACCAAATTAAGAAAAGGGTTTCTTATAAATCTAGGATCTTAAACGCTCCATCAAGCAAAACTCTTTGAAACTGTACTTTCGACAACTTTTTCTAGCTCAGTTTAAATGAAAACAAAACAATTTTATTACATACTTTGGCAATAATTATCATTACCTACAAAAGAATTATGTACTTACATTATTTCTGGCTCCCACATCGGACCCCAAATCAATCATTCTGTCAATCAGAGACGTTCTGTTGTCTTTAACGGCGTACATCAGAGGTGTCATCCCAGTCGCCTGGAAACAACAGTGATTTTAAGGTTTGTTCGATAATCATCCAATCTTTAATACAATAAATACATGCAATTTCATTTGGGGTATCTGAAAAACAAGTTTTTTTCCACCATCACAAAATTTTACATTTTTTACCGTTAAGAGTCTCTAAGGTTGACATTTTCTTCACCAAGACAAAAAAATCTAATCTGCAGTATAAAACATTGTGAAAGAATTACCGTATCTCCAACTCCCGCCAAAGGCACCAAATTGGCTTCATCTCCGGCGGTCGCGATGGCCTTCTCCATGGACTTGAGTATCTGGTCCACGGGACCCCATTCTCCCTTTTGACAAAGGGCCAGTACCTTTTGAGCGGAGTCCCTGATGTTGGGCCCTGCACTTTGAGGCTTTGAACTGGCCCCCTCTTCTCCTTCTGGATTACTGCCTGTTTCATCTTTGTCTTTTTCTTTTGGCTCTTTATTGGGGCCTGTGAAAAAATACGTTGAAGCTAAAGCATTATCTTTCTAAATATTCGCAAATTGACTTGTTGTCCAATATGATGTGCAAAAAACATTTTTTTAGACTTTTTCTGAATTCACCATACACGGAAGCAATCATATTTTCATTTATAGAGGCAACAGCCACAATTTTCTGTCTTAGTATTATGGACATAGACTTTTCGCTTTAAATAAGAACTACCTTCATAAAATACGAAACAATTATTTGATGATGCATAATGCCGCACCAAATATTTACTTTCTAAAATTTAATTGTGGTAAATTTTGAGTTTACCTCTGCCCATTTTTTTTTGTAAAAAAATTAGGTCGTTGTTTTATTGGGATTGCATCTTATCAATGCAATGAAATTTGTATGGATAGAATAATAATAATGAATAAGAATAGTAGGTGCTATGGACAAAGATAATAAATAATGGTTTATTAGTTCTTAATAATTATTACAGCCTCGTATTACTCATATTCATTTTGAAAGTCTGGGGCAGTTGCAATAAAAGAATTCTTGCAATCAATATGACATTATAAAGACCACATATTTAATTTAGCTGATAGAAGTTAGTGCTATAGAAACTTAGTGTTATCTAAGTTATCTTCTTGTTTCATAACCGCAATTGTATAAAATATAGCTATTAATAACGCTAAAGAATATCAGATTTATTGATGTGATGTATCTAAAATATGAAAAAAGGTACCCACCTCCTTTATTATTTCCTTCTTTATCTTCATTTTTGTCCTTGGGAGGCCCTTTGCCTACCCCCTTTTTTCCTCCAGATTGAGACATCACTACATTTTAGTTAAAACACCATGGTATCTATTTCTTAACATTCATTATTTTCCCAAACAACATCATTATCAACAAAGATAAACACCTCATTAAAACCTCCCCACTAGACAACATATTTAAAAAAAAATCCCGCAATAAATCTTACACACGGACCAGCGACTTCTGCACAAATCACGACTTGCATGCCTCGCGCCACTACTTTGAATAAATCTCCGATAACAGCAAAGAGAGTTACGGTAATCTTGGCCAATGGGGGGGCTGTTTCTCCCCTCTTACGGGGTTGATGAAGGGGTGCCGTGATTTAACAATCAGCTTATCGTGTAGACACATTGACCCACTATAGTAATATGCTAAATTTTCTTATCATACAGGGTCTTCCTTAGGTACCTGGCCAAACTACAAGATGATATTTTTTACTGAATTTTAAGTTAACAAAGCTCATATAGACATAGCTCCTTAACGATTGAAAACTGAAAATTAGTGCTCGTGGAGATAAAATTTCATCACAGCCAATTTCGAAATTTCGAACAGTTAGTGTCTGGTAGATTTCCCTCTGGTAAAACACAATCTTAATAGTTTTTGAGTACGAGTACATTGCTTTTTAGAAAAATAGACTTATATCTCGTATTTTTGATTGACACTAACGAATGGGGGCATGTAGCCCAGCGGTAAAGACGTCAGGAGATCGCTACTGATAAACCAGGGAATATTTACAACTTTATGGTCTCCAGTTTTGAGGTCATATCCGCCGCCACATTAGGGTTAAGATTTTGATTGTCGCCCTAACCAAATTAGTTGTTATTAAGGTCAACTTATTCGAACTCAGAGCGAATGTCCAGGTTTTCCGGAAGTTATTCAGGAAGTGTAGCGTGCTATACAGTAGACACGCACAGATTTTCTATTGGCCATGCATATTGCGTACCTATTAACAATTTTAATTAGCGTTTTGGCAAACGGTATAAATACCTCGAGTCCAATAAAACATGTAACGCCTATCATATTTGAAAATATATATATCTCAATTCTTACCCACTCTTACCCACTAGACTATGTTCTAGACTAGACTATGTTCCATACGTGGTTCAAGTCTGAAAAACCACTTGAGTTCAACGATTTTTTTCATCCAGTTATCTATTCTTTTCCGGCTTTGTTCTAAGCTTCTACTTGACCGATTTGGATGCGACTTTTTTATAATCAATGCAGTCAATCCACAGATGTGTTATCACCAACAACCATAAATCCTTATTACGTATTTTATATAAAACAACGATATAAAAATTCAAATAAATGAGTGTATTTTACTGGCCGTGTACGTCGGTCGTCCGTTCTGTACTTGGGGCGCCCTCTGTAGCCGTTCTCGCATCTTTCTTTGAAACACACACATACACGCAGTGCAGCAGCGGCTGGATGAGTATGCGGCCGAGAATTTCGGCTCCACCTCAATCTATACAACTTTGGTATTCTAAAATTCATTGGATTCTTAGCTACCGGTACCTAATTGTTATTTTCATTCGTGGCATAGATATGTTATTAGCTTTTTGTTTCTGTTATAAGAGGTTTTCTTATTTTAAGAGTTTTATAATTAAAAGAGTTATCGAGGTAAGAGTTGTAGGTTTTTTTTAAATTTATTTTGTACTTATAAGTAGCTATTTTAGATACGTTAGATTTGTGTAAGGGGTGAAAACTACCCTGTACTTTTAAAATGTCGATGGATTTTTCTGAATTTCGGCACACACTGATTTTACAGTACAGTGTTTTTACCAGAAGGGATATTTAAAAATTCTATTTTGTTTAATTTTTCCATACTTATATTTTTTTTTTCTATATAAAATACCATTTTTCCTTCAAGTGAAAGATTTGTGCAAGAGAGTGAAAGCTACCCCGTAGTTTTAAAATGACTATGTATTTTTCTGAATTGTGGCACGGATCGATTTTTAGAGTAGAGAGTTATTACCAGAAGGGATATTTCAAAATACTATTTTAAGGGGTTGAACTTATCCCCTAAATATTAAAATATTTTTATCTCAAAAGTTAGATACATATTTTGAAAAACGACGAAACACTTCCCGTACTTTTAAAATTTCGTAGGATTTTCTGAATTTTGGTACACAGATTGATTTTAGGGTATAGAGATTTTACCAGAAGGGACATTTCCAAATTATAATTCCTAGGGGTATAATAACCACTAAAAATCAAAATTTTTGTTTTAAAAAGCATTTGATATTTTGAAAAGCGGCGAAATGCGTCAATTTTATTTTTTTTCTTTGCGTAGTTTTTACTTAATCGAATGGGTTATACAAGGGGTGAAAACTATCTCATATTAAAAAGTTTAATTTTAGCATGCGAGCGAAGCCGCGGGTATTTAGCTAGTATTTATTATGATAGTACATTATGTTTTTAGTATTTTAGGTGCTACGTTTTTTGAATAGCACTTGATTGCTTAATTGAACTTATTTATATATTTACACAGTTTTACTTTTATCTCTATTGTCATAGGTATTTTAGATCCAAGAAGTGTTTTTTAAGAATTGAGATATTGCGACATAAAAAATTATAAAATGTAAATAAAAATAAAATATAGATTTCTACTTTTATATTTTTTCCTCAACAATAACAATTTTATTATTCTTTTCCAAATACAAGATTTAAGAAGAAAATTGACACCGTAGTATTCTGGAACAAGTAGGTAGTTGGCCTAATGAATATTTTCTCTTTGTAAATAAAGAAAAAAAGTGGGCGTACCCCCTGGTGGGACTCGAACCCACAGTCCCCGGCTTAGGAGGCCGATGCCTTATCCATTAGGCCACAGGGGCGGCTGAAAAACAATTTTTACTACAGCTATTATTTTATACAGTCATTTATTAAATTTAAATTGACAATATTTATCAACTACTTTATTAAAAAACTGGTTCATAATTTTACCAGATTTAACTTACTCTTCTTCCTTAATGGTAGTTAATGACTCGTTGGGGTCGTAACCTGGAGTAGGCAGAACTACCGTGGACCCAAAATGCAAACTTGAAGTTACACCATAATATATAGGTACTGTATAGGTACATGAGAGAAAGGTATCCGGTGACATATATTTTGTGGAGATATTTATCTAATTCGTTTCTTTTCCCTACGTAATATGCATTATTAACCACGGCGAATTAGCTGACAACAGCTGCTTTGGGTTCACCTGTACCAAAGGCCATTATATACTACGAATAATGGTCTTTGGTTCACCTGTACATAAGTTTATGACCTGTAGTAGCTCTATAAAAAACTTTGATAAGTATGCAAATTAAATTCTATACTTATATCGTTATCTTATATACATATTATTGAGATGCTATCTTTTTTAAGGTTTTGGTGGGGGGGGGGTGGGGTGGGGGGGGGGGGGGGGGGGCGGCCGGCGCGGGGGGGGGGGGGGGGGGGGGGGGGGGTTTGGGTTTTTTTTTTGGGGGGGGGGGTTTTTTGGGGGGGGGGGGGCGGGGGGGGGTGTTTGGGCGGCGGGGGGGGGGGCGGGGGTTTTTTGGGGTGGTTTGGGGGGGGGGGGGGGGGGGGGGGGGGGGGGTTTTTGGGTTTTTGGGGGGGGGGGGCGGGGGGGGGGTTTTTTGGGGGGGGGGGGGGGGGGGGGGCGGCCGGGGGGGCCGGGGGGGGGGGGGGGGGGGGGGGGGGGGGTTTTTTGGGGGTTTTTTTTTTGGGGGCGTGGTTGGGGTTTTTTGGGGTGGGGGGGGGCCGGGGGGGGGGGGCGGGGCGGGGGGGCGGGGCGTGGGGGGGGGCCGCCCGGGGCCCCGGGGGTGGTGGGGTTTTTTTTGGGTTTTTTTTTTTTTTTTTTTAAACCAACAAAAGGGGCGGGGGGCCGGGAGAAATTAGAGGGCGGGGCCGGGGGCGGCGGCGGGGGGGCTTGGTTTTGGGGGGGGTGGGGGGGGGTTTTTTTTGGGGGGTTTTGGTTTTGGGTGTGTTGGTTTTTTTTTTTTTTTTTTTTTGTGTTTTTGGGGGGTTTTTTTTTGGGGGGTGGGGGGTTGGGGTTTTTGGTTTTTTTGGGGGGGGGGGGGGGGGGGGGGGGGGGGGGGGGGGGGGGGGGGGGGGGGGGGTTTGCTGGGGGGGGGGGGGGGGGGGGGGGGGGGGGGGGGGGGGGGGGGGGGGGGGGGGGGGGGGGGGGGGGGGGGGGGGGGGGGGGGTGGGGGGGGGGGGGGGGGGGGGGGGGCGGGGGGGGGGGGGGGGGGGGGGGGGGGGGGGGGGGGGGGGGGGGGGGGGTGGGGGGGGGGGGGGGGGGGGGGGGGGGGGGGGGGGGGGGGGGGGGGGGGGGTTGGGGGGGGGGGTTGGGGGGGGGGTGGGGTTGTTTTTTTTGGGGGTTTCGCCTCCGGGCGCGGGCGCCCTTGGGGTTTTTTGGGGGGGTTTTGGGGTTTTGGGGGGTTTTTTTTTTTTTTTTTTTGGGGGGGTTTTTTTTGGGGGGGCGGTTCGCCCGCGTCTTTGGGGGGTTGGTTTTTTTTTTCTTTTTTTTTTTTTTTTTTGCGTTTTTTTTTCTCCCTTTCTTTTTTTTTTTTTTTTTTTTTTTTTTTTTTTTGGGGTTGGGGGGGGGGGGGGGGGTTTTTTGGGTGGGGGGGGGGGGGGTTGCGTTTTTTTTTTTTTTTTTTTTTTTTGGGGGGGGGGGGTGGGGGGGGGGGGGGGGGGGGGGGGTTTGTGTGGGGGGGGGGGTGGGGGTTTTTTTTTTTTCTTCTCCCGGGCCCTTTTTAACATTAATGTTTATGTACAAACAGACAGATATATTATTATTTACTTACAGATGTAAACTGTATATCACATGGGTAATCAATTAGAATTTTTTCTTGATTTTTCTGTATAAGTTGCAGACTATTTTTTTTGCGAGACATCCGTCAAGTTAAAAAATTAGTTTTCTACTAAACTCAAAATGATCATTCTCTAGTTCGGGTAAAACAAAATTGGGTAATTATTTACTTTAGAGGAAACCTCGCCAATTTTTCTGAAATTTTGGTTACCCCCTATTTTTGGGTCGCTGAACACGAATCTGACTTTAGTTTTTTGGCGGTCGGACACAGTTTTCGAGAAAATGAATTTTCAATTTTCACTTGAACACGTCACCTTTTTTTCGCCGATATATAGAATATTATCATACAAAAACACCAACTACTGAACACTCAATAGTTCTACACTTGATACTACCGATTTTCCACTTTAAAAGTCACAAAATTACTCTATTTTCAGAGGAAAATTTAAAATTTCCACAATAACTTTTTTAGCTGTCATAATAATCCGATGCGCAGACCAGAGAGCACAACTAGATCCGGCAGTCGCTAAGGTACCTATGTATCTGCGGATGTATAAAGTGAAAAAGAAAAAAATATATATCGATGAAGAAACATCCCATTTAAGAGAACGGGGGGAGATAGGAAGTAATGTTCCTTCTTTAAAAATTAGAGATTTTACCCGGGGGGGCGGGGGGCTCCTTTGATATAGAAGACGGGGGGGGGGGAACATTCACCTTCCTATTTCCCCTTTTTTCTGTTTATCAACGGGTGGTAAGATATTTCTAAAAAATATATCGAAGGGCCGGGGGGGGCCCGGGCTATATTTTTAATAGAAGAACATTCCTCTATCTCCCCTGTTCTCTTAACTGAGATGATCCTTCTTTAAAAAATATATCGGAGGACCCGCCGGCACCGGCGGGCCCCTTCATTCAATCATAACATTCACCTTCCTACCTTCCCTGTTCTCTTAATTAAGATGGTCTTTCATTGATATAATATTTTTCCTTTCTTTCACTTTGTACATCCCCAGATAGATACCGTAGCCACTGCTACAAAATAGTTGAGCAGGCGGCGCAACGAATTTTGACAGCTTATAATTTATTATGGAAATTTTAGATTTTCCTCTGAAAATAGAGTAATTTTGTGACTTTTAAAGTGGAAAATCGGTATAATCAAGTGTAAAATTATTTAGTGTTCAGTAGTTGGTGTTTTTGTATAGTAATATTCTATAATATCGGCGAAAAAAAGTGACGTGTTCAAGTGAAAATTGAAAATTCCATTTTCTCGAAAACTGTGTCCGACCGCCAAAACTAAAGTCAGATTCGTGTTCAGCGACCCAAAAATAGGGGGTAACCAAAATTTCAGAAAAATTGGGCGAGGTTTCCGCTAAAGTAAATAATTACCCAAAATTGCTCTAAATTTCCAGGTACGAATTTTTATTCAAGTTTTCCTCCATAAAATCCGGTCCAATTATTTCGTGATACATAACTAAATTATTGAGTAATTAATAGTGCCTTTGACAGATTGTAGTTGTCAAGCTCATAGGAACCTTTCAAAATAAACTCAGTTTCCAACCTACACAACTTTATTTTAAACGGTTATACATTTACAACTACAGCTGAGTTTTCACAATGTTTATCAACAATATTATATTTTAATGCCTTGGACACGAAAACCGTAAAAATAATGACACGAATAGTTTTATTTAATCCTCTCCTTGTGACATTACATTTTACCAATCTGTATAAAAGACAAACTTAGAACACAGTTATTAAGTTAAGAGCTTAATTTGGTTTTCAGTTCTTCATTTCTAGAATACATAAATAACATATAAATGCTACATTGCTATTCTTCAACTAGCTTTATTTTGAATGGCTTCCACTAATTTAAACTTCTGAATTTTTTCCTGATGTTGTCTTCGGAAAGCCATCGACAATTTTTAGAACTGACGGGATCTTAAAATGGGCGATGTTTCCGCTACAATATTTTTTTATTTCTTCTATGGTGACAGTGCAGTTCTCTTTGATCCTTATACAGGCGCATACCTCTTCTCCTAACCTCTCATGCTGTAATCCAATAACCTATAACACATTTATTCCCATAAATTGAGGTAGGTCTCAAGACCTCATACCAAAACAAGACGGACTGCTCTAATTCCGGTGTTAGACATATAGTTACTCCCTGCACTAAATTATACATTTTACAAATCTATTTATTATATTATTATACACAAATTAGTTGTTTTTTTAATAAATACAATTGTTAAGGGGATAAAAATGTTCTTTTTCAACAATTAATAGCAAACTCACGTAAGTTTCCACAATATTGGGATGCGTATTTAAAAGATCTTCTATTTCTTTAGGAAATATATTTTCTCCACCTCTGATGATCATTTCCTTTAGTCTCCCTACCACCCTACCATAACCATTTTCTTCCAAAATGAACTGATCTCTACATGGAAATAAAACAAATTTGTTGTGAAGAAGTTTAGTTTGGGATAGGTACTATACATATTATATAAAGTCGATTTTGATCAAATTGACTGTATGACAATTAGATAATCAATAATAATGAGAATAATAACTAGGAACTTACCCAGTCTTTAACCACCTATCAGCACCTATCATTTCTTTTGTTTTTTCATCATCGTTCCAATATCCCAACATATTACCATACGCCCTCACGCAAAGTTCTCCTGCTGTACCTATTGGTACTATGTTATTATCCTTATCCACTACTTTAACTTCTACATGCTCTTGCAAATAGCCAACGGTACAAGTAGATTTGTATTCATCATCATCGTGTAAAGATTGAAATACTACAGCAGTGGTCTCAGACAAACCGTATACCGACTAAAATAAAACAAAAACAAGTTAAGAGTACATAAAATGAAACACAGGCAGTAATAAACTACAGGGCCTGAAAGGCTACTCTAAACTGTCATTTCAATGCCTCATAATCATGCTCATAATATGATACCAATGATTTATGTCTGAAGTTAGTAGGTAAATTAGACATGGGTGTGATGCTCCTTTGATGCCTCTTTTAAATGTCCA